CACAGAAGGAGAGGTGAGTGCAGTTCTGCCATTTCCCAGGCATTGCTGTCCTCACCTGCTGAGACACATGTGCAGAGAGAGGCTGGTTCAGTGCAGGGCAATGCTGGGATTTGAATGTAGCTGACTTGCCAGCCAGCTGTGACATCTGTGCCAGAATGGAGAACTGTTCTGGTCTAGTCTCAAGGAATGACAGGACTATCCTAAAGCACCAGAGTGTCTGGATGAGATGTTCAGGTGAGATACCCTCACTGTCAGGGAAGGATAAGCTTCTTCAGATGATGCCTTGAAGCAGGGATCTGGCAGGAATCTCTGCCAGACAAGACAGAGTCCTCTGGTGAACTCCAGTGTCTGACAACTGTGCAGAAGCAGTTATTTCACTTTGGAGGCCTGGCAGTAGGCATATTTCTCCATCTGTTTTCCCACTAATAAGAACAGGAAATTTTGTAGTAGGTTTGTGTTCTACAGCAGAGCCCACGCACAAGAAAAGAGTATTTTCTTTTTATGAGCTTTGACCAATGCGGTTTTTTTCTTTGAAGCAATTTCTAATGTGGGGCTGATCTGGAATGGAAGACAGACCCTCAAATATCTCTTGATCAGCCCCAAATTAAGAAATTTTGATCTACCTTTCTAAATCAAATCAAAACTGTGCTGAAAGCTATAAACAGCTATGGAATTGAAGCTGTGACTTAAATAATGTAATACGGCTCATATAATCCTACCTAGATGTCAAGACTGTGTCTCTCTCTAGCTGGAAAAAGCTGGTTTCAGCTAGTTAAATGCTAGGATAATTTTAATGTAGCCTACAGAAAGGTGTCTTGTACTCTTGTAATTTACTTCCCAGAATAACTCACAATCCGGCATTACTGACAATTACGTAAAAGCAGGATGAAAGTTTGTTCCCGTAAGGCTAGTGCATGCATTCATGTAGGTTAAATGCTCAGCTACCCTGGCCTTCTAAGGAACTGGGGGATTAAACTAAGTACCACCAAGGAGAAAACCTCAAAAGGAAAAGTAATATATGGGACAAAATCCAGATGTGTACAGAGAAGCCCAATGGGCATTGTAGAGGTTTTGCCCCAGTTGGAAGTGCTGAAGCACTGCATCAGCTGCATACTTTTCATGACTGCTTCATTCAGTAGGCCACTGAGGCTTTGTAGGATGAAGTTCCATCTCTTAATATTGGAGTATGTCTTGTGACAATAGGACAGTCTTTTTGTGTAATTCCTGGGGGGTCAAAAGCCAGATCTTCAGAATCAGCTGAAGGTGAAGGAGTAGCACAAAACTGCTGCAGCAGAAAACTAGAGCTTTTGCATCATAGCCTTGCTTGAGTGCTGTGTGCACCATCACATACTGAGGAAAAGATAAGGAGTATAGGATAGTCGAAAAGGATCAATAATATACACTACTTTTTCACTTCCTCAGAAGCAACCATTCATTTCAAATTAAATAAATATGAGCATGTGTCTTTTCTGATGCTACTTGCTGATTCTGAACTCACTGAAATTAGTCACAGTAAATCATGTCCAGACCTCCTTTGTCCTGTTCGTATTCTCTGCCTTGAAATACGTTGGCAAACTTAGGATCCCTATTTCACCAGTGCTGGCAGCAAAGGTGGTTGATGTATCAACTCCAATTTTATGCTGTTTATCTAAATGTGCTTCTTGAAAGAAAAAGAGTTTGTCTTCTGTGCAGTTTCAGCAGTTCAGCAGTTCTGCCTGCAGTGAAGTAGAAATGTACCTGAGCTTCTTTACTGTTTGCATGTGGACTTGGCAGTGATATTGCTTGTTTCAGTAATTTTTTATCACCTGCATGGCTTTACCACATGTAAAGAGTTCCACACTGCTCCTTTTCAGTTGTGTATCTTCTTTTGTGCTCCCTACTGTCCAGCAGCAAATACAAAATGTTTGTCTTACTTTAATTAAAACCAAAAGAGAACAAAATTCAAAAACTACCTATATGAAAATTAAGATCAATGCATGTACAACTTAAAAGGAAAAGAATGTGAATACAAGGTTCAGTCTTGCATTCTGAACTTGCATAAAATACTTCTTAAATTGCATACTTAGTTCAATCTGTGTGATTAAAATATTTCAAAATTAGAAAATGAGATGATAAAATGATTTTCCCTTGTTTGTGCAATATGAGCATTGAAGTAATATTGTTCAAGAAAAACAAATGATTGACATAGCAAATTAAGACTTTAGAACATGCAAACTGTTAAATGATGTTATAAATAATTGATAAACTGATGGATGTCCAGAACATGTAGTACAAATCTGAAGATTTTACCTTTTTCAACCACAGTGTTGGGTTTGTGTTAAACCTTGAGGAGTAATGTAGAGAAAAATCTGACTAATAACCTATAGAACTTCACAGGGAGCTGTGAAATGGTATCACCGATGCCCCATTTGACAGGTGTAGAGTATTATTTCTTCTTAATAACACAGTATGGCTGCACATAAAGAACCTGTTTAGGCTCTACAGTTGCCTCTGAGTCAATGGAACTCTGTATATGCTTTGGTGGACTGGAACCTGTCAAGTCTTCTCCTGACATGACTGATGTCATGCGTAAGTACGTACTATGGGGTTTATAAAAGGGGCATGTAGGTTGTACTTGTGAGCTGTGTTTGCTGTATTAATAAGTTTAGGCTGTCCATAAGCACTGTTTGCTTCAGATCAACTTCTGAGGCCCTCATGGATCTTGTCTTATACCTGCCTAGATCCTGGTGTCTAACAGAGCTGTGTGATCTGAAACCAGCTGTTTCTGCCAAGGAAACACAAAGTGCAGTGTTGTTCGTTCTGGTGCTTAAACATCTCCTTGTGTATATTCCTTCCTGCCTCTCCATACATATGTGTATGTTTTTATATTTTGCTTACTGCTCAGCCAAGATGATCCAGAGCATCTCTTATGCAGGTAGGACAATAGAAATTACATTTCATATGTCTGTGTCTCAAATTCACAATAAAGTCTTGCTGGAATACAGTCCTTCCACCTGGAGTGCCTTGCTTGTGTAGGTATAACTAAAAATCAAGTGTGGGCCCTGGATTAATCCTGGGGCAAACCCCAAAAAAATCTCTTGTATTTTAAGTGATGTAAGTGAAGGAAATTTGAGGCTGTGCTTAGCTTGAAAGGTGGTGTGTTCAAACAAATCAGCATATGCATTGCCACGTGCATATTGAGCGAGTTCCTGAGAGATGTCTATTACTATTGCTGCTTTTTTAGGAGACCAATAAGGTGGGCATTTGAAACATTAAAATGTTAAGGGGAAGTAGAAGGCTAAGAGAAATGTATGCAAAAAGAAAGCAAAGCTCACCACTCTGGTAAAGCAAGGAAAAATTACATTGTACATAAAGTCAGGTTGATTACCACTCTGGTAAAGCAAAGAAATATTACATTGTACATAAAGTCAGGTTGATTATAGCACAGTTTATTGAAACAGTATTTTTATCCTCCCCAAGAAAAAGTGGTACCTGATAATTTGACTGAATTTGGTACTTGACTGGTCTTGTTTGGTTAGGTTGATTAGGGTTGTTTAAGCAGTTGGATTTTAATTTTCAACCAGCTGTGTGTTGGAATTTTGACAGAAAATTGCTTAGCCCTTTTGAGGACTTGTATTCAAGAGACCCTCAGTGCCAGTAAGAATATATTGCCTGATCTTGGCAAAGAGCTGAAGGAGATGGGTTTGCTATGCAGCCTTACTCTCACCTTGCTTTTCAGCACTGTCATGGTTGCCCCATGGCCTGGTTTGGTCTGTGGTTGTCACCATGTGGCTAACTCAGAGTCTAAGCTGGCACTGGTGATGGAAGTGCCCTGTTGGAGAGCTGCTGGTTGTTGGAGTCAGTGGCAGAGGGAATCCTCTGGGACCTTTGAAACTTGGAGTACTTTATTTTGATATGTATGCAATGAGTAATCTGATGTAGAATTACTACTCTAGGAAGCTAATTTTAGGCTTTTCCATTTGCAAACTGGTCATCTTCTGAAAGTGTGATTTATACCATAGCATTCTGTCTGGTTTTTCTTGTCTACTTTGAAGTTCTTTCCTTTAAAGCTCAAGCAACTTAGTTAAAATTGATCTTTTTGGTATATTGGCTAACACAACTGTACTAGACGTGGGTTCCCAGGTGCAGGCAATGAGGGCTGCAGGGTGGCCCCTATGAGGAGAGGCTAGGGGTTCCCAAGCTGGTTCCAGCTGGCTTTGACAGACCCACCAAAGGGCATGGCTGAGCCCTACAGTCATGGCAATGGTGCCTCGCAGACCCACCACAGGGCATGGCCAAGCCCTACAGTCATGGCAATGGTGCCTCAGGGAAGGTCTGTGTGACAAAGGGCAAAAACATGGCACAGTGATAGGAGGAGGAACAAAAAGAATTAAAGATATTAGCATAGAGAATGCCCAGGCCAAAGGGGAACAAAAGAATTAAAGACATTAGCATAGAGAATGCCCAGGCCAAAGGCACACCAAGGTGGTGGAGCAGGTATTCCCTGCAGTCCAGAGGGAGTCAGACTGGAGCGGATAAATTTCCTGAAGGAACTGCTGCTACTGCAGAGTGCACACTGGGCAGTGGCATCAGGAATGAAGCCAAGTCTGGGAAAGGGAGGGATAAGTGGTGTTTTAGTGTTTGTCTGTTTCTCACAATGAAAACATACTTGAATATGCAATAGATTAATTTTCCCCAAGTGGAGTCTGTTTTGCCCATGGAGGTAATTGGTAAACAATCTCCTTGTCTTTATCTCAGAAGCTTTTCACCCTGTTTTATCCCCTGTCTCTTAGAGATGGAGAGAATGAGAATGTAGCTGGGTGGGTGTTTGGCCCTTAGCCAAGGCTGACCCACCACAGAACTGGGTGCTCATTTGGTCAGATAATAATTTTGGTCCTTTTGAAATGCCCTAAGTTACAGCACACATCTGCAGAAGGCCAG